ATCGACTGGATCATGAAGACGTCAACGTCTGAAGGGAAGCTCGGGATACAATGGACATCTAAGATGCAGTTGGATGATCTAGACTTCGCAGATGATCTGGCCCTTCTATCCCACACGCAACAACAGATGCATGAGAAGACAAACAGCGTGGCAGCAGCCTCAGCAGCAGTAGGTCTCAACATACACAAAGGGAAAAGCAGGATTCTCCGATACAACACAGCATGCACCAATCCAATCACACTTGATGAAGATTTGAAAGATGTAAAAACCTTCACATATTTGGGCAGCATCATTGATGAACAGGGTGGATCCGATGCAGATGTGAAGGCGCGAATCGGCAAAGCAAGAGCAGCATATTTACAACTGAAGAACATCTGGAGCTCAAAGCAACTGTCAACCAACACCAAGGTCAGGATTTTCAATACAAATGTCAAGACAGTTCTACTGTATGGGGCAGAAACCTGGAGAATTACAAAAGCCATCATCCAGAAAATACAGGTGTTTATTAACAGTTGTCTACGCGAAATACTTCGGATCTGTTGGCCGGACACTATTAGCAACAACGTACTGTGGGAGAGAACAAACCAGATCACAGAGGAGGAAAAAATCAGGAAGAAGCGCTGGAAGTGGATAGGACACACATTGAGGAAAGCACCCAACTGCGTCACAAGACAAGCACTCACATGGAATCCTCAAGGCCAAGAGAAAAGAGGAAGACCAAAGAACACATTACGCCGAGAATTGGAGGGAGATATGAGAAAAATGAACAAGAATTGGATGGAACTAGAAAAGAAGGCTGAGGACAGAGTGGGTTGGAGAATGCTGGTCGGCGGCCTATGCTCCATTGGGAGTAACAGGCGTACGTAAGATGGCTAGTGGATCTGTTAGCTTTAAAATGGCAGTGTACAGTAGTATTAGTAATAATAATAATAATAATGGGTAGTCAATATGATAATACTGGTAGTTGCAATGATAATGATATAGGTACTGCTGACAAATATTATTGATGAGGATGAGGTAATAGGTGTGTGGTGATGTGTATAAAATTTGGATGTGCATACACGTATGTGTTGTGTTGGTTTTTTGCTGAGACAGTGTTGAGTAACCTGTTTAGTTTAGTTTAGTTTAGTTTAGTTGAGTAAATGACTGGAATGTGGCTTGAAGCAGCAGTAGTAACTGTGGTTGTGCAGATTTCTTTGTGAATGAAATAAACTATACATGGTGGTTAGGTAGGTTTGGTGTGAGTGAAATGTGCATTTTTATTTGTATTTATATAAGTGTATATATATATATATATATAATTATAATAATATGTAGGTAATATGTGTGAGTATGTGACATAATTGCATTACTAATCAGTACTACTGGAGATGTAGTGGGAAATCGTTTACACTGTAAGTGTTTTGTTTTGTTTTGTTTTGTTAATGTGACTTGATTTGACTTGATAATAAATTTGTTATACCTAAGTTAATTGATGACAGGCGTGTGATCCATGTGCTAGTTAGTGGTAAATGTATCTGGTTGGCTCGTAGTGAGTGAATAAGAGTGGTGAAATTAATGATATATAAGTTAGAGTGCTGGTAGGTAATGGTAAAGGTAGTCGAATAGTTTTTATGATTTGTCATTGACTTCGTTTTTATGCCTGTTAACTTTAATGGTATTGGTAACAATGGTAATGTCCCAATGTCTGCAAGACATGCATTTTATGGATAATTCCTCCCGATTCTTTATCTCATTTGAATGTCGCATTTATTCCCTACTTTATCTCATTGGCTAAATGAATTATCGACAGACTAGGTATGCTCTGATATATATATATATAGATCAATAATATTACAACCTAAATAACTTCTTTGAATCAATGTAAGAAAAACTTTGCCAACCAAAAAATCAATAATCAACGTAAAGAATATTGTACTTTTTTCGGAAGAAAATTCTAGAATGATATCATTCTTTTCTCCAAGTAAATATTCAATCGACAAACTTTTGTTCGATTTCTCTTACGAAAACACTTAAATTCTTATTTTTTTCCCTCTCATTTTCAAATTGAATTAAATTTTTTTCGAAAAAAAGCAAAACTTATTGATCCATGTTTGTTTTGTTCAATTAAAATTAATATCACAGAATACTCTCAAAATATGAATGTTTTAATGCTTGATCAGCTGATATACGGTCAGATGGATTACAAATAACAAGTTGCTAATTTGTAAACAAACGAAGAAAAAAAGGAATAAACATAAAATGTGAAATAAGAACTTTTAAATACAATTCATAATTTGCTACGTGAACAAAAAAAGTGATATTCACTAATAACTGACATAAGTTATAGAAATATTGGAAACTAACCAAGAAGTAGTTGTGGTGTTGTTTTTTTTCAATTAAGTTTATGACTTCTGTACGATATAGTTTAACTCCACATGAATTTCAAATGCATCAACATTTAAGTCTTTGTACCAAATAAAGATCTATATAGTTATCTAGGTCAAAATCACTAGTGCATAGTTTTAAATTCAATCATAATTGTTGATACTGAAGCACAGTCACTAATAATTCATCAAATGTTGCAGGTTCGCACAGAATAGTTTATTTTCAATATATACACATATCTTCCCTACACAAATGTAGTGGCCGAATTTGATTTAAACAAAGATTTTCAAAATTAAGTATACATATATTTGTTACTTGATTTTAAGAAATGTTATACTCAGACCTTCATTACCGATTAAATACTGAAATGCAATTAGTTTCCGGATGAAAAATAATTCAATAAAATATCAATATTTATGTTTCTGGTCAATGACATAAAAGTCCTCATTAATTTCATACACTTACACAGTTTCAGTAATCTTAACCAACAAATTATTCGTATTCTGTCATTGAACCAATCAGCTTACATATCATTCAACCTTTTTTTCTATTATAATTCTCATGTTTGTTTTTTGATTAAATAATTACTCTTTACAATTAACATCTGAATGTTGTACTAAAAGGTTTCTGCGGCTTAGTATGATGCAAGGTATGAGGGTGGGTGTTATATATATATATATATATATATATATATATATATATATATATATATATATATATATATATATAAAGCTTCCATTTGACCTATTGTCTCCTATTCTATGATTTACTAATTTTAAGTTATTCCCAAGTTATTAGTTAAAGCTTCTCATAATCACAGTCACTTTTTGGCTTGATCTTGTGTGGTTATTATTTTCCATTTTATGGTATGATACGGTCAGGTTTGTTTGTATATAAACCAAGTATGTCTGAAAGATATGACTCAAACATCAGAAGCTGTGTTCTGGACTCAAACAGACACGGCCAGGCGGAAGGTCCAATCAGAACTCAGAGATTGACTTTAGGCTGCTCATACTGGTTTATGAGTCACTGGTCTAGTCATATCAGTCGGTGTTCTAATTAGTAGAATTAATCACGTGATATAATTAACTGGGCAAAAGTTATAACAGTGAGAGACAATGATGTTTTCAACTCATGCTATTCAGTATAACACGCTCGTTATCACTGTATTAATTCATTGAATCATATTAAGAACCTACTGGTGTTTGTAGTCGCTGAAACATCGAAGTGGCGGTAACGAACCTATGGGATATGGATTTGAAACCACTAGAAAGGTATTCAGTTACATGTAAGCAACTGAAGCATCCAGATTATAAGTAGCTTCCTGATAAATGTTTATAGATACATAAAATTATTTAGTTATTATCTGGCCAAATAGTAAACCACCAATAAGATCCAATACAGGGTATGATGATATTTCGAACTGGAATATGGACGGCTCAAAAATGAATCAATAGCCGAATTGGCAGCAGGCTCTCCATGAAAACTGGAGGTTCTCGGTTCGATTTCATGAAGGATCGTGGACTGCTGATGAGTTCAAGATTATGATGCGACATTTGTTCACCTCTCCCCGTTTTTCAATGTATCATCAACTAATAACATTTATCAATGAAAATTACCTACGTATTACCCCCCGATCTTTAAGGATCATATGCTTATTGGTTAGAATTTATAACACTAAATGATAAAAATCCATAAAACTATATACAAAATAAAGAAATGGTAGATCCATTAGTACTAATTTATAAGTTTTGGTATTTTGTTATTGACGACTGTATTTGATCAGTTTCTGTTGGTACATGGTAAACCAGAGTTGATGCCTAGAGATTACTTGCAGTTACACAGGTTTGTTTACTATTGAGTTGTCGCTAACAGTGGAATCCAGGAAGTGTGTTTCGTCTAAGTTGGAACTTTTGAATATCAATTCTGAGAAAGTAACAAACATTACGAATAACTTTGTGCTAGTTGAATAAGCTAGTAGCTATGTGGAGCCAACAGCTTACTGAATTACATTTGAAAATTGAAGAGTCAGGTGTACCGGAATTGAGTCTCACTGTGAACTTCAACACCTAGATACAGTTACATTTACCTGAAGAAACGTGTATCATGTCCTGAATCTAGCTATAATTTAAAAATTTACTAAATATAATATAGAGAACATAATAATCTATTCAAAAAGTTACACGTATAAAACAATACAGAATAAAACACTTTTTCACCTACTTGTAATAAATCACGACCACGAAATGACATTTTCGGAACAACTTGATGCCAATTCATTGTACGAGGATACATCACAGTAAATGGCTAATAGATCAATAAAGATAATGTAATAAATAAATTAAATGATACCCAGTAACATTACTCAACAATGAATTACTGATATATGGCTATCGTATAGTTGTAGATATTTGAACTACGTACGAAATGATCAGGTTCACCTTTTCACTTGAATAAATAATAATAACTCTCCAAAATAATTAAAGATATATATTATCTATTGAATATTGTCATAAATATTTTTTGAAAATTATTCTGGATGTTAAACCACTTCTACCAACTCCATTTTCTTAGAAAACATTAAGTAATAATAATAATAATAATAATAATAATTATTATTATTATTATTATTATTATTATTATTATTATTATTATTACTATACACAAAATTGTGAAAAGCTTAATGAATATAAAATTGGTTATAAACATATGTAAAAATTCTTACATATTCATGTTAAATACGCATTTTTTTGTATGAGATTTTTTACTACCAAAATGTAAGATAGAAGAAAATAATAAGTTAACCGTTATAAATATATGTTGGGATTTGAAGAGTCAGATGTCATACTTCCAAGGTATCGAACGAGTATTTAACATGTCATGTGAGCACAATAAGATGGAATTTAGTATAATGAAAGTTCTCATTCAGACATTTTGTACAAAATAAAATAGATAGGACGAATAAATGTTGAGATCTAAATGAACGGTAACGCTGAGGATACTTGGCTTGTCTAAATTACATACATTAGACGACTCTCTGTGTTCGATCATCGCTGTCTCCGAAGGATTGCTGACATCTAGAGGCAACACCATGTTAGTAATGCAGAGGTTCGGCATCGTGTGTTCGGGCGCAGAGACGATAATCCAATTGGCGTCACCATCTTGGAACACCGACTTCGATGGCTTGGACATGTTCTACGAATGTCGTCACAGAGAATTCCACGTCGTGCATTATTTGCCGACTCTGGGACTGGTTGGAAAAAGCGGAGAGGTGGTCAGTATATGACATAGTGTCGTGGCATGAAAGAAAGATGCAAGGGGTTGACTTCTGTTGGTCCCTCATGACTCAGTGGCTGGGGTCCGAGAGATAGTGCGACACAGTGGCTAGAGACTTTATCAGATATGACTCAGAATAGAAGCCAGTGGCGACCCTGCTGTAACCATTTTACTTTCTTCATAAAAAGTGGTTGTATCCTTAACTAAAAGATTTCTTCTGGTTGTACCTTTCCGTTTCCCCCATTACTATTATTATTACACTTCCTTACACTAATCTGGTCGTTATCGTTCCTCTTCTTTTTTTTCTTTAACGCTCCTTACCTTCTTTTTTTCTCTTCCCATTCTCATCGTTTCGTGTGGTGCATATATATTTGGTGCCCCCTTGTACCAATATTTATGTGTTCAAATAAATAAATAAATAAAAATAAACATCCTTTCGACCTGTTTTAGATACGAACAATTCCACACAAATTCTCAAACCGTTTAAAGAAGCCTTTAACAGCAATTCGGAAACCCCCCGTAAATTTATTGATAATATTTAAAAAGAACTGGTGATTAAAAACAACTTTTTCCGAGTATTAAATGTATCGCTTCAATTTCCTAATTTTTCACACTAGAAACTGAGTTTTATTTACGGTAAACAAGTAGACAGAAACATAAAAACCTTGGTTCATGATTGTATAATAAGAGTTAATTCTTGTGTGTACGACGGATGCCAACTTTCGATTTAACAATGAACTATATAAACAAGTAGAAGGTGTAGCCATTAGATCATCGCTGGATCCCGTCTCCTGACAAAATTTCCTCTTGGAAAAATGAAAAATGGACCTCTTATAGACAATAATTCAACAAAATTCCACTGTCTTTACATAAAAGATACATTTATACTGTGAAAAAAAACACTAATAATGACAATTTGCCTAACATTTTCAATAGCATTTACTTCTGAAGAAGCATAGAATAATAGCATAGCATTTCTAGAGATTTCAGTAACAAGACAATTAGACGTAACATTAAAAAGAAATATACATAGAGATCGTGCAATTAGACAAATATACTCATCTCTATAGTTCTGTACCAAGCATATATAAGTAGAGCTTAATAAATATCCTGACTCGTGCTAAAGCGACTCGCTACGATGAAAAAAAACGGAAGATTAACTGAATATATACGTAGTATTCTCGACAAGAATGAGGTTTATACAACCCTACTCTTAGTCTTGTCCAAATGACATAGGTCATACAAGAGCAAGTAAGCTTAATTTTTCAAATTTTCTAAATTTCTTTCATTTTTGTGGACTTACACAACTTCAATATTTTATTATCTTTTTGTACGTAAACATTAATAAATTGACTTTAAAAATACCTTTTATTATTAGATATAATTCAGTTTGGCAACTGTTGACAAACATGTTTTCAACTTTGATAAATAGTTACTTCAGTTATTACAGTTACTTTGTCCTGTCATTACATATTGCCTTTATAATCACATTGTAACATGGCTTTCAAGGTGTAAACTAGGAAAACACTGTTTAACGTGTTGCATTAGCCAGTTAAGAACAATTAAGTTGACGTGTACAAGGATTTTTCTTATCAAATTTACACAATGTAAAATTGATGATGTTAGCAAAATACAATGAATCCATAGTATTTTACAGTTGAATTCATGAGTCGATTTAAGCTAGACCACTATTGAAAACCTCGAAACTCTGGACGGCCGTTTCGTCCTAGTATGGGACTCCTCGCACCAGTGCGCACCCACGATCCCGCACGCGAGACTCGAACCCAGGGCCTTCGGTCTCGTGAGAGAAAGCTTAACCTCTAGACCATTAAGTCGGCATCGTGGACCGGTTGACGCTAGACATATATATATATATATATATATATATATATATATATATATATATATATATATATATATATATATATATATCCGTCAGATAAAAAGGGCTTTAATTTCATGTTTCAAAACATAAAGTGATCAGTTGGTGAAAAATATATGTCAAATACTTAACGTTTGATTTGTTCATACAAGAAACTTGTACTAAATCTAAGTTTTGCAGTTTCAATGCACAGGAAACAGAACAATACCAGGACATAGTCAAAGTTCTAGTCAAAATACATAATCTGTGTGTGTATATTGGTGTTCGCGTAATCCACTCATTAATACATCAAAACACTGACTCGCACATCTTTAACGTCTCATAGTAAATATGTTCCAATTTAATAATTCCGATGAATAGTTTAGGTTGTAGTTGAATGATTATATGTTTTGATAGAGAAAAACAATTATCTTTTTAGAAAAGTCATGTATTAATACTTACTTCATAGTCGGGTAATTCAACAACAGATGGCCAGGTTGATTCAGTCGGAGTTCCTAATAATCTGATCGAATGAAATTAATCAAAATAAAACCATGAAATGTAAATAGACCAATAAGAAATGTTAAGAGTAAGCAGTAAGCTACATCAGTCAGTCAGTTAGCTACAACGTAGGACCAGGCAAACATTTGCGTCGGTCCAAGTTGCCATACCTCATTAGCACAACAAGATTAACACCAGATTCATAGAAGCACTTAACTCAATAAGGTAATATATAAGGGAAAGATTGCATATAAGAACATAGTACAGGAAGAAAGAATCAGTTCGTAAAAAGAAAGATATGAAATAATTTTAATCTCATACTTTAAAGGAGGACAAAGAGTGTATACACATACGCCATTGTGATCGATTCTGAGCCATGTCACCAAGAGTCTCCAATCATTGGTTACAATAGTCACGCGGACCCCTACCAAGTAGTCTGCATCTACCAACATGGCACAGACCACAAGTTAGTGACTTCAAGCATTGATGCCACGTTTTGGTTTGGCCGCCCCCAACTTTCTTCCAACCATCCCCAACACCGGTTAGCATTGCACGTCGTGGTAATCGGTGTTCACGCATACGTAACACGTCACCCAACCATCTCAGTCGATGAAGATTTACAACCTCATCAAATGATTTACCATCATTCCCTAATACTCTGTGTCTAACCTCACTATTACTTACCCGTGATCCCAGCAGATGCCAGCAATAGTTCTAAGGCATCTGTCGTCAAATACTAGTAGCTTACAGGTATCTTCGACTCTTAGTGGCCATGTTTCGCTGACGTAAATTAAAACAGAACGAACTGCCGCGCAGTATACTCGTCCTTTGATTGATAGACGGATATCTCGCCTTCTCCGAAGGTGACGTAAGTTGGCAAAAGCCAAACGAGCTTTTCGAATCCGTACTGAGATTTCGTCAGACACCAAACCATTAGGGCTGATCAGACTTCCAACATAAGTGAATTTGTCAACGTGTTCGACTACTTCACTCCCTATCCTTAGTTCAGGTGTTGACGCAGACCAGGAAATCCATTGGTTCTTTGTAACCCTGTAGTTTAAATCACTGAGAGATGTCACTGCTGTTTCCACAGCTGTTTGTATAGCTTTCCAAAAAACATCTGGGTCAGCCTCGTTTTCAGAACTACCTCATTGTGACCTCAGTTGTTCCTGGAACCTACTTTTGGTTTTCTCGCTACTCAATTCAGTTATAATGGGTCTTTGTACTGTGGCTTTTTTGCGTCCAGTGAGGCGCAAGCAGATGTGTGCCCGTATTGGGGCTTGGTCGGAGTCCAAGCAGGTACTCCAGAATGAGCAACAATCTTCTACCGACCCTCACCAACGATGACTGATGGCAATATGGTCTATTTGAGTCAATCGTTGGTTCGGTGTAGAGGGTCACCATGTTAGACGATGTCTCTCCTTATGCTTAAAATTTGTGTTTGCTAAAAATAAACGATTGTCTGAGCACAGTTACAGCAGACGATCACCATCATCTGTTCGCTGTGTCGGAATACTAAAATACCCACCTAAATGTCTTTCTGTTTGGTTTCAGCTACCTACTTGAACACTAAAGTCACCTGCTACGAGTACTGTCTGGACGTTTAGCTTTCTGAAGAAGTTCAGATAGCTTTCTGCAAAATTCATCTTTCACTTCATCTGAGCTGCAGTCGGTGGGAGCGTAGGCAGAAACGACAAAAAGGCAACGACGTGTGCCCATATCCATCCGAGTTCTTACGGAACCGTTTAGCCGAACAGAACATGGGAGACTGTTAACGGGGATCCACTTTAACAGTGCTTGTTCCGCCCTCATGCTTAGTGCTATGCCTACACCTGCCAGTCCACGGGAACTAGCCATCGGGTCGCCAGATACACGGAGGGTGTGCCTCGTCGGCTCTCCGTTTTGCCAAGGTGAGGTCAGGTGAACGACCACACTAGGATCCTGTATGCGTGTTTCAGAGACACAGCATACATCAATGGTACGAGATTCTAGGGTTCTAGCCAAGGAAGCCTGCTGACCGATTTGACATACGTTGAAGACTCCAATGTGTAGTTTGGAGCGAGGTTTCAGTAGACCTGGGACAGTGTTTCATGCACTAGAATCGTTGGCTATGGTGACACTTGAGGGGGAAGCCGAAAGAGGAAGTTTAGAGGTGAAAGTCGATGTAGGAGGAATAATAGAAAGTGAAGAGGGAGGTTGATTATGAATACAGTGGTCTTGAGTACTGTTAGAGGTATGAGGGCGGTTATCACTTCCCGGTTGCCTTCACCGTGGAAGGGTTCTTCTGGAGGTACCTGAAAAGGAAATCGGATTCAAGGTGGTCTTAGTGATCTGAGAGCGTGACCGCAGTGCCCAAGGGACAACTACTTGAGGTCAGTCACACACGACCTTTTTATGAGTAATTTTTGTGTTGGCTCCGTACTTGTTGAGACCTTACCGCCGGAGACGGATATCCGTGGGACAAGACGATGTGCGCATTTTCAGGGTCGACCTTTTCTAACCCCACCCCTCCTTGTGGGAAGGCAGCATCGCTGTCATGCTGGTTGTCTGAAGGAAACACCTTATTGCTGTCACACCTCTGCACAGTCAGCAGTACGACTTCGCCTTCGGACCTTGGGTTTGTAGCTTTTAGTCTTACTGCTCTTCAACCGACCTGTCTGACATGGTAGGACCTTGAGGAACGGTTGTTCCAGCCAGTATCGCTTGGTTGCTTCATCACGACAGACAAGCCCGACCACCACGTCAAGGTAGCAACAACGGTCGGGAGTAAACTACATACTCACATGTAAGATTTTATGAAACATTGTTAGGGGAGGGAATAAAACAATATTCTCATTAAAAATAAATAAAACTAACGAAATCTTTCATTGAGTCTATGATAAAAACCAATAGTAGAGTGGGAATAATTTGGAAGGAAAAATCGTTTACATACGACTAACCAAATCAATACAACAATGAAGATGTAATTTATAAATATGACAACTGTTTAATTAAAACAACAAGTAGTTTACACTCAGCTTTATCATTAAAAACATTTTTACAAGAAGGGGTTTTGTGGAGATTTAAGTCATTTCAATGGTTGAAATCATTAGTCAATTGAAGCTAGACCACCATGGAAAACCTGGAAGCACTGGAAGGTCAGGTAGTAACTCACTGTAGACAATGGTGTATGTGTCGCTCAATTTCATGGATTAGTTGGTCCTGAGTTCGAACCTCGCGAGGTGGCATCGTGGGTGCGCACTACTGAGGAGTACAACAATAGGACAGAACGGCCGTCCAGTGCTTCCAGGTTTTCCATGGTGGTCTAGCTTCAATCGACTCATGATTTCAACTATTGAAGAACATTTTTGTCTAACTTCACTTGATAATAATTAAAAAAAGTTTGCTAATCAGTTGATTACTATTACTACGGGACTAGTTGGTTAAATGACTAAATATTATTTAATGTTATAACTGTTGTTGAACAGTTCAAGATAAGTGGTATGAAGACTTAAATTTTAGCTGAACATATTCTTCTATGGATCATAATGAGAAAATTGATGAAGTTTTTGATTTTAATATTGATATCATTAATATTTAATATCAAAAAATTTTTAATTGAATCACATTATTAATTATTAGATCAAGTTTAATTAACATCCACCTGAGCTACAAATCTTCTCTACCATCTGATTGTTGAGAATGAATCAATCCAACTCACTTAAAACTCTTTACAGTTTCTGGTTGCAAATGAACTGATTTTGGTCCCGCAGGTAGCATGCTTTAATTATGAAAACAACAAGACCAAACCTTCATTTTGATAATAAGCACAAAAATATATTGAGTTTTTGAACAATTGTTTTAATAATACCTAATTCCAAAAATTAGGTGAAAATTCTGAATGGATTCCACGCTTGAAAAAATTCAGAAATGAATGAAAATTACTACATATCGAACAAAAACATAATTTCATTTCTCTGTTCTTACTTAAAAATTCTCTGCAATTGATCATCAACATCATAACCAGGAAAAAGTGGTCTTCCAGCATTGGACATTTCAGCGAAAATACAACCAGCTGACCACATATCAATTGAGGTTGTGTATAATTTAGCTCCAAGAAGAACATCTGGTGGTCGATACCAGAGTGTGACAACCTAAGAGAGAAAACCCCAAAATTTGTTTAAAATTCAACTTTTAGAAAAAAAGAAACCTCTTGATATTGAAAGTTGCAATGTATTTATTTTGAATATTTGAATTTTGACATGAAACACATTTGAGTCAAATGGTGAAACCGTGGAAAAATGATAATAGATAAATAATCATTGTGTTATTAAGGCCAAATGACGGTTTATTTAGATTATGGGTTCACGTTTCAAAACTGCACAACTCTCATTCAAACTCTAGAAATTATGATTGATCACCGAAGAACTGAGACAGGAAAATATTATTTGTTTGCCAAATCGAGGAATTGACCAACAATTTAGAAAGATAATGAATTTACTTACTTAACTAAAAGTTATATCCACAAAGTTATTTCGAGAAACTGTGAGTTGACAAAAGCCTGTGTATTTTCAAAAACATAAACGACCTGAAACCTTGTCCTTTTCAACTCGTTGAAATCTAGATTAATTAAAATCTTTCAGTAACAGTTCAGTAGCAAGTATGGACTATTTACAGAAACACGTAGTGGGACTGAAAAGAATTTATTCTCAAGTATCACAGGACTTTTCTGACATGAAGAAAAATGGGATAAAACAATTAAAATTAAAACTTCGAAGAAAGTAATGATAACTGTTAGTCCAAGAATAAACTTTCTGCAATAATTATAACATATCTGCACATGAAATGATTAGAAAGCAGTAAAAAAAGGTCGCGTAACTAAAAATAACCCCAAAGTATTCGAGAATAAAACACTCCTAAATCAACAGTTAATAAACGAAAATGGACGCAAAAGTTAACTAGATAATTTATTATCGGAAAAAAATAAAAAATCAAAGAAAAGTTGTCTTAATGAAAAAATAGCAACTAACTTCCATGACTCATTTACGCTAAAAAAAGAATGGGACACCAATGAAATCACTGAAATAAGCTAAGGCTATGGTCCTAGAAGGTTTTAAAACAAGCAAATTAAGTTTCAACGTATACAAAAGAAATTATAGGGAAATATGAGGACCAAATACAATCTCGAAATGTTAGGCTTAATCACTTATTAGCCAGTAAATCCAAAGCAACTCCTACTGGAGCTCCTCTGGAGAAACCGCTGGTCCGAAACCCAAGTAAAGGAGAGTTTGGTGTAAGGTCGACACAACAAGATGAACACCAAATTCATAGAAGCAGTTACTTTAATGGTAGTGAAAAATTTCATATAAGGATATGATGAAGGAAGAAAGAATTAGTTCATGGAAAGAAATATACATCGTACTTTTAATCTCACGGTTTAAGAGAAGACAAAAAGTGTATACACATACGCCATTGTGATCGATTCTGAGCCATGTCACCAAGAGTCTCCAATCATTGGTTACAATAGTCACGCGGACCCCTACCAAGTAGTCTGCATCTACCAACATGGCACAGACCACAAGTTAGTGACTTCAAGCATTGATGCCACGTTTTGGTTTGGCCGCCCCTAACTTTCTTCCAACCATCCCCAACACCGGTTAGCATTGCACGTCGTGGTAATCGGTGTTCACGCATACGTAACACGTCACCCAACCATCTCAGTCGATGAAGATTTACAACCTCATCAAATGATTTACCATCATTCCCTAATACTCTGTGTCTAACCTCACTATTACTTACCCGTGATCCCAGCAGATGCCAGCAATAGTTCTAAGGCATCTGTCGTCAAATACTAGTAGCTTACAGGTATCTTCGACTCTTAGTGGCCATATTTCGCTGACGTAAATTAAAACAGAACGAATTGCCGCGCAGTATACTCACCCCATAATTGATAGATGTGAGCAATACAAATAAGGACCTGGAATATTCAAATAATGTGAGAGATCGGAGAGGTCATTCTGCTAGCCGCAGAAATCAGAAGATCCAACTTTGCTATGCTTGGTATAAGTGAAGATATAATTCAAAAAATCAATTTTTTCTAGATCAACTAACCGTACAGATAGTCTATAAAAAATGTGAAGAGATGCTAGCAGTTATTTCGAGTCTTTGAGGTGTAAAATGACCAGTAGCTGTTTCCATACACATTTAGCTTGACAGTGTGATGGATTGATTGAATATGACATTTGCTTTACTGAAGTGGATGATTGTGTCCACCTAGATGACCACATAAGTGACACACTGTCCATGTAATTCAAAAACGAAAAATACTAAATGAGGGTGAAGTATACAATGTAGATATGCTTGGTTTCGTCATGTTACTCAAAGAATATCACGAGTTGTCAGTATTTGGATACTCCTGTCTTAGGAGTACTACTAGTATCTCAAAGGAAATACTGTATAAACTAAATGTATTTTAAGGACAAGGTAAAGAAAATGAGTTACTTAATAACCCAATCTTGATCTGAATATGGTTGCCAACTGTCTAAAGAAGATAATCAGTCCTTAAACAGAAATAACCGGAGGAGAGCACATAGTAGTTAAGTGAGCTGACTGTATAAAAGCACTGCTTCTCTAATTGTCTATGCTATCGTAAGAATTCTGGAGAGGAAAAAGTTATTTGGAGAAATTTAACTATCTTTTACCATTTATCTTGACGTATTAAGCAATACGTTGTCATTTGGCAGGATACTCTTACAATGAAACATCTCATGGAAAGTAGAACTAGGATACGCAATATCTTAGATAAATAAAGCTTATTTTTGTATTGACCTATATACTTGTAACATGGTTAGAGCTGGACTTCTTTTGCACTAAGTTTTGGTATTCAAGCCTAAAGACAAACACATAACTTATGAAACATACTTTATTGTTCGGATGAACTGTGAATCAAGAGTCTAACTAGCTATATGACGTAATGCGGATGTATAGAATACTTAAATGAATCCGCTATCATACAGAAAATGTCTATATTTTACTGTAAAAGGGAAACAGGGATGACTGCATACCCCAATACTAGAAACCATGGAAAGTCATGACGTGAAGTATATATCAAAGAAATAGTATCCAAAAGGTCAAATTATAAATAAAACACGGTAATATTGTGAATTTAATTTGTCCTTTGTTAGAACTACTGAAAAATATTTTTCAAAGTAGGCAAGAAAACTGACTTCTGCTGAGTATTGTCGCACGGGTATTCCGTATGCGCGAGCCAGACCGAAATCAGCCAACTTTAACTCTCCATTATCATTGATCAGTAGATTTTGTGGCTTCAAGTCTCGGTGTAAAACGTTGTGACTGTGACAAAACTGAAGACCACGTAGAAGTTGGAACATGAAAAGCTGAAAAATGTGAAACACAAAGATTCTAAGATACTTTTTCGATCATTTTCTTAAAATCGAATATAAAAGATTTGTTTTCGACACGGATTTAATCCGTGGTTTATTATTACCAGTTGGATAGCTTAAAACATCTAAATGCTTGACCATTTATTCCGACAAACTACTCTGAGTTCTAGTTGTGAAGCAGTTAAGACAAAACCCATCATTGAGTTTGTATGTAATGATACCAAGGTTAGACTTGATAGCTTCAAATAAGTTTTATTTACTCTAAAGAAGTAGCTTGCATTAAGCTACGAAACGTCAGAAATACAATTTTTCTACTCATTGGGATATAACAATATATATATATATATATATATATATATATATATATATATTCATTAGTAATTCATTAATACCTTACTGATGCATTTGCAGGTCTGGTAAGGTATCTAAGAAATAAAAGCCTGAATATTCCTATCACAGTACCCATACACTGAAGGTATTCAACGAGTCTGTATTCACAACAACAAATTCATGGTCTTTTAGTCTATATGACCAAACACTAGCATTAAGTTTAGCCCCCAACTAAAAATTATGACTTCTTGACAATAGTCGGTGAATAATCAGCTTAAATATTAATGAATTACAACTCAGCAACTAGATGTATAATCATATATAATAACCTGAGGTACATTTATGTAAGGACTGATAATATATCATCTCTATACATTAATAGTGTTAGCGGGGAATAAATTGGATTAAAGCACGTTCCGTGCAGGATTGTGTTGGTGCACGCTTAGAGAAGATTCTAGAATATTCTCATGTAAAAACTATAAATATACTAAAGCTTTTTGTATTGTGCTTCTTACTTCCATCTACCCTTGTTATTTGGAATATAATTTCGTTCCTGTTCAACCGTGTTCTGGTTTGGGGACTTGTCGAGTGAATTGGTGTCCAAGAATAATAAGTGATAGAAATAGCTGGGTCCTAATAAGATAAATTACAACAGGAAGATCCACTATTCTTTAAAACATAGTACAATCGCCGACAGACGATTGACAAAACAATATAAACCATGACTTCTCGTGAATTTGAAATTGATATATGAGACATATGACGAGTTTCTGAGACTGATCAACTATCTGTGTCCGGAATTTTATAGAATGAAGGAAATCAATTTGGGACCCAAGTGAGAAAATCACAAACCACATGAAGAATTATCGCCGCATAACTTAGTGGAATGCTTAGCGAGGAAATAAACTTAAGATTAGGATCTTAAGTGTGGAGTGAGACAAAAGACCGTATGAAATTTACTGCTTTATCCATTATCTAGACAATGAGACGAAAAGTAAACTCAATAACTCTTCATAAGAATATGATCATAATTTAAAAGGTTTCTCTATTGCTTTATTCAAAAAGCAAGTCAGAAAGTAATTACTACCCGTTACAATTGAAAAAATTGTCTTTATGAAACGGAAATTCTAATCTCTTTTTTAGTTGCGTATCCTATTAGATTTTCCATTGTTCTACTTCTCTATTACTTTCCTATGCCGTCTTCAGAAATTAGGAGATAAAATAATGGACTACTGTCTAAGTATGTTTTGTTAGTGACATCACCAAAACCTGCACAATATATATGACGGTCATGTATAATGAAGACGATTTGTCTTTACTCAGAGCTGAATCCTATGTTAGCTAATAACAAACTTCCGACCAATGTTTAAACAATCAAAATCTAAAATGTACATTAATTTATTTGATACCTTTACAGTATTCTGATCTATATCACCATTACAACTGTCGAAGTATTTCTTCAAATCCTGATCACAATATTCAAATACAATTGTTAGCCTTGACTCGCTTAACAGGACGTCAAAAAGTCTAAAAATTTCATTACTTGATAAACTAAATAAAACACCTGACAATGTTTTTATGTTTAAGTTCTTTTAAGAGACATATTTCTCGAAAAGCTGAACTAGGAATACCTTCATCGTCATTTTCTAGTCGAACACGTTTAAGTGCAACAATTTCATGTGTCTCTCGGTTCCTCGCTTTATAGACTTTACCATATGTACCTAGAAGGTAATACAAACATCATTAAAACAACATGTGCACACCTTCTCCAATTTTCTCTAGCTTTTCATACTTCAAAACAACTTGGTTTGTCATCAGTTGATGGGTGTCATAGGATCAATGCTAAGTGATTTGGATAGTTAGTTCATGAGAACACCAAAATGATAGTCCTGGAACATAAGAATACAAGTTGCTTTTAGAAAAAGTACAAAAATAAACGTTAGACTTTCAGCATGGACCACATAGATCACTAAAACTATCCACAGAATATTGTAAAATATAGCATATTACAGCAAATAGTTTTCAATAATAACAATAGTACCATTAATAAATTGCATTCGTAGGCGTTACATTCAAATACGAATTTCTTACAAAATAAGGTGGGATAGATATTCTGGTCAGATAAACTACACCTGCGAATCATTTTCGCTAGATTTTGTGACATTGTTTCCAGTAAATAGTTTAAATTGCAACTTTTAACTTCATATAAAATATAACTCGATGCATCTTACCGAAGTGCTTCGAAGAAATTGGGATTGAGTCAAGGCAAAATATTTTAAGAAACATTTTGATCTCATTAATGACTCAGAAACTGACCAATGGATAACTGTGGAGCCAAACGATATGAACCGAGTAAAAACTGAGGATCAAAAAGAGATATCCATTGTGAATCAGGAGCGTGTTTTGCTCGCTACTCATCTGGAAACATGACTCCATAGATTCTTAGTTGACAACGTAAGATAACTACCTGGGTTACCGAGTTAGCTAACAATTCCTGACTTGAGAAAGCTAGTTTTTAATCCAAAGTTCTTCATAATAATAACAGTGCCTCATAAGCCGCTACTACCGGATAGTTTGAAACACCTACACATAAAATAATACGCTAAAGAAGAACATGAAGGTCTAGCAGTGTTGATGTAAAGTTATTCTAGAGACACTTCGTATATTCAGCTGACATGGATTTACATGACCCACAGAAAGATGAAATAAAGACACCTATACCCAAGCTGCCAACTTTGGGGAAAATTTGGTCCATTTCGGGGAAATTTTGGGAAAGCCGCTATAGCAAATTTTGGGGAAATGAGACGAAAACCCCAAAATTTCCCAGAATTCCCCAAACTTTGGGGAAGGCTATTTCACTTTAAGGATTTCCCGAAAATTTCCCCAAAGTTGGCAGCTTGGGTATTTTCGTATGGGTTACATACAAATTCGTATACCCAAAATCACTTCGAAAATTTAAAAAATTTTAGAAGCAAGGAAAGTTGTATTTCGACTTCCCAGTAGCACAAAGTACAAGGTACTCTGTGTACCAGAGGAGCATGCAGAGTACTGTGAATATTACTACATATGAGAAGCACAACAGAAAAAGTGAATCGGTGAGCAAGCAAGCGTACGAAATGCACTTATATTTACTACAGAAAGCAATAAATAGCAAGTGGCAAATAACAAAGCTTCAGATTAAGATAAGCTTGAGAATGAAGCTGAATGAAGCAGGTAGTTTTAACCCATTGCAAGGCAGAGAGTCAAATCAAGAGCTGACTGATCAAGGTCAAAACATCTATTTAGATAGAGCTACTAGTCTCTCAGACCTTGTTTAAATGGTTCAAATGGTTGTGGGAGGAGATGAAAAAGCTATCACTTAACGAGCTTTGAAATCACTGGTGGTTCCAGGTAGGAACCTAAGTATTAAAGATGCCACAAATATTCATAGTTTGACAACACCTTTATAATAAAGAATACCAGCCCAGTCAACTGAGAGGTCAGAAGTGAAGGAGTTCAAAGTTACATTTGAGAAGTTGTCTATATGTCGAAAAACGTTTGTTTTAAGCTGATTAGTACTTCCAAGAGTCGAGTAGCACGGTATACCCACTCGTGATCTGTCACGGAAGCGTCATCAGTTAGGCTGTGTCGAGTAACGCGAAGGACTTCAGAATTAACGTGAAGAACATGAAGAACTGTTTGTTCCATGGATTTATTTGCCGTTACAGCTCCTTGTAACCTCTCTAGTAGCTTTTCAAGGTTTAATGACTGTCCTCATGCCGAGTAAACAAGGAGGGTTGGGTATGTGGTCAGCATCTCAACCCCGTAAAAACAGCCTCGCCAAAAAAGCTGACCAAATGAAACAAATTAAACCATCTAAACTGTGCCCCCCGAGCTCAGGGGAGACTTATGACAGCTGAGATTCTTCGGAAGCCACGAGGACAATGCCCCTTCTAACAAACAGTGTAGAAATTAATATAGATACAGGGAATGCTAAGGTAATATGGGAGACCGGGAGGATCAATCAGACAGCAACGGAAATGAGGAGATACAACATGACGGTGCCCAGAATAACTGAAACCCATTGAAGTCAAACAGGACAGAAAAGAAGAGATTCGGAAGAGATGTCGCTGTGCTCAGGCTACGAAGAAGAAACTTCTCCCCACGCTCAGGGACGTGCTCTGATGTTATCCAAAGAAGCACGTAAAGTATTCATGGATTCGGAATCTCATGGATCCAGGATCATCAAAGCAGAGACAGGAATCACAATGAATGTTATCCAATGTTATGCACTCACCAATGATAGCGACGACGACAAAACCCAGTTTTATAAAAGGCTGAAATCAGTCAGCAAAGTGCTCAGGAAAGTACTTGACCATCGTGATGGGATACCTAAATGCCAAAGTCAGAACGGACAACACCGGGTATGAATATATTGTAGTAACCTACTTTTATCAAGAGAACGCGAATGGTGTAATGGAAACAATTACTATTATAACCAATTGTACCGGGGATTGTTTTACTGTACCTGTTTGTTTAACTGTATCAAAATACATATATTCTTCCGTTGATTGTGACCTTCCTCGAATTCGGTTACGCGCGGAAGACAGCTGATAGACGCAGTCCAAGTGAAGACTGTTGTCATGCAAGGCTGCTTACTCCCCCTTTTCTCTCCTGGCGATCGACTGGGTTATGAATACCTCCATACCCCAGTGGAAGCATGGTGTACGATAGCAAGTTGTATGGGGCTGGATGATTTGGACTTTACTAGTTCTTTTATCCCGAGCACAGCAACAAATGTAGGTAAAACAGCCAATGTAACAGCCACTTCTGTAGCAACAGGTCTCAACATGCAAAAAGAATAAAGCTAGATCCGGAAATGCAACACAGATAGCAGGATAATCTGTCCAGCATTAGGTTAATGTATTCAACTCCACGTCGTGTTTTCTGTAGATGACTCCCATTAGACATCTTAAAGCGTAATTCAATCACATTGTGCACCATATGAATTCATCAAGATTCATAAACACCCAAATGTTCACTTAATGTGTTTACAAACAGGATCATAGTATACGGATTCCTCGCCTTCACCTCCAGGTTCCCTATCGTTGCGAAAAAAAACATGCACTCTGCTACCAGTTCCTGATCTGTAGTTTGAGATCTCCATGTTTCAGATATCTCTACTAGATGGGTATCTTTATCATTACTTAGTCGACATGATTCATCCATTTTGTTTGGTAAATCCACAGTGTTCGTTTATTAACACTTAATCCATCTGCGTTCTCGTCCTGTTTGTCCAAATGTGTCTAACACGAATGAACAGGAAGTTTGACTACACAACGTTATCTTAATCGGTGATCTCTGCTCCTTCCACGATTTCCTTCTGTTCTTGATAGCCCATAATTACAAAGATATCAAGAATTGCCTGTTACAATGCTCATCGTTTTCAGTTGTGTAAGCCTGCTTCAATTCATAAGCAACAATGCATAATTCTGTGCAGTTCAAGCAACACAATCAAAAGAGGAACTAATTATTACGGAATCCGTCACAACCAAAGCGTCAAGTAAAACTGTATAGGTGTAGTACAACAAAATCATAGAATTCAGTAGAAACGTAAGAATAATGAAAACTACAATAAGACGTAAATGGCAATTGTTTCATGTGGGATCAGGAGATCAGCATAATGCACAACTGGAGGAACTACGTAAGGTAACCTCATATATGTAAGCTAAGTAACAAATTACATTACAAAAGTATATACATGAAGGGATTTTCAAATACATCCACAAAAGCTTGCCAAACGATCTCAAAAAAACAGTTGATAGTAGAAGAGATAGTAGAGGAGTAGTCTCAAGGGCAGTCTTATTGAATATCAATGAAATTAAAGAAAATATCGAACCGCCTTTTGAAATAATCACTAGGATGTGCCACTTTCATCTCTACCAAAGTGACTTTCATGATGTACTCAATATACCCACGAAAATACTCAAACGTATTTTGTGTTTGCTTTTTAATCTTCTTACTTCAGACTAAAGGTGTCCTATATAGTATGTTAGTTTTTTATCCTGAGGGTACCTTGTCTACTGGAGAGTTGTGGAATTATGGTCTTGTAGATCACCAACGTAGATGATCCATGTCGAAATGATTGGAGGCCTACTCGAGTTAGACGTGAATGGTGTGACAAACTAGCTAACATCGAAGTCACACCTCATGGTCAGCACCTTACGTGGACTACCCCATTGACGTATCAAGGTACCATAGATGCTTTGAAGACCGTACAACACAGAGGACGTTATTACAGAAATATATTAGTTAAAGTAGATACAAGCGAAAGTAAGAACACTGCCGCATGGGCCAGTCCATGGCATACGACTAACTGATGCGCGTTGGTTGTCCCTGACCTTGACGAGGATCGATGATTTTCTCGACATTCCATGACCCAACCGCCGGATGATTCGGCTAGGTCTTAGTGACATTTCACTGGCCTTACAATCTACTGTGATATTAGTATTGAGCTAATAATAGACCTAATCCTAAAATTGCAGACATGTCATGATATAACTGCCTAATCTATAAGATCTTACGTAGAAGTCATGCCATCGTCTACATCAACTCGTCGTATAGTAACAATCACCAATACATGATGTAGAACAAGCTGAGGCCAGAGAAAGTACAGTATATTTAATATGAATAAAAGATATAAGATAACATTCAACAAGTACCACGCCTGCAAGACCAAGCCATACCATTCGATCAACTCCAATTAATTCAACTTATTCTTCCCGCCCTCTTCATCGCTGGGTTTTTCTCCGTGTTAAATGTTGAATGTCTATTTCCCACGTTGTCTCGTATTAGGGCCCAGTGCCATTGCAGATTCATATAGAGCACTTTACTTGAGGAGAGCGCAATGTCAATGCTATCTGCGGAGAAGTATTATTACCATGGTAAGCACCGAATGAGAATTCCAGTGCCCTCATATGCTTGATGATCAATCTACCAACTCTCGTACTGTGTTACTGCACCATAGTTTGTTAGTACAGTGTTTGGAGACTGACATATTTCCACTACGACTTTACAATCACACATGAACAGTTCATGACTGGCGTGCACTGTGGTCAGGTCGATGTTGGTTGTAAACATTAGGTCAAGTATATTATTCCTTCTAATGGGCTTTCAGACCTGTAGGATCCATTCGCAAAGTTATGTCCTTTCAACTAAATTTTTATATCGTCCTAGTACCAAAGCTGAATTCCATGTAATGCTTAGTAGATTAAACTCACGTGTGTGATTGACGCGAAACAACGAAAAATATATTTGTCAACAGTTTATTATAGTTGGTACCGGCATGAAGTGGTTTGTATATACATCCCATCCGTAGATAATTTTGTGGAGTCACTTATAGTATCAAGATAGTCATTCTAAAATTTACATGCTTGAGTGTTCAAATGAACATTAATAGTTGTACCGCCTCACATTGTATGGCGTCTGTCGTATAGAAATAAAAACTGTTGTCTACATTTAAGGAGTGATCAGACATAGTTGATTCGCACCACATTCCCGTAATAAGGAAATTGTCTGGATTTACAGGGAGTAAAAGGGTCATAGCATAACTAATTTTATTGAGGAAAGAACGGGCATTGAGAGAACGAATAAAAGACTGAAAGGTATCATCAAGAAGCAGGTTATATATGTTATAATTAGTAGTTCCGTGAATACTTGAGGGATTGGGTAAGGTAGGAAGTGTTATGAGAAAGAGTAAATTCAGAAGTTTAGTCGGCATTTGCAATATATTAACCGTTGCTGGCAAAATTAATATCTAATTGCTGTTGACCTTAGCATCTAATAGTAGTCTGATGTATATCCTGAGAGCTGAACCAAGAGGGCTGTTAGGCTTACATAAGAGACTGATTAGCCGTCATAATTCAAGTTATTTCTTATATCTACTGTACGTGTAATATGTCCTAAACATCAGTCTATACTTTTTGTGGTTTCTCCGTAATTTTGTGGGAATCAATTGTCACTAAACATGCCTTAATGGCCCGGTATCTGACTCCTGTTGGATCGTATGAATGATTGTTACTGAAACACACATGTCATCTATCCTTATATAAAGTTATCGACTTAATCCGCGTTAGTGAATAACGGAATTAAATAAACCAAATACAAGAATGAAGTTTTGAAAACATATATTTTGTACACCCAGTGATTTGAACAGGCAATCAGGGAGACGAAACAAAGAGGGGAGAGCGAAGTAAATTGAAGAAGACAAGCGAGACAACTCGATTCAATCAAGCTTTAGTGAATATTTATAACCTGATAAAAATAAGCTACAGACATGTGATGAGTAGGATAAGATGTACACACACTCATCTAAAAACAATCAGAAGAAATAAGCCAGTAAGTGAAAAGGTCAAAATGTGGTTTAAGAATAGATAGATTGACTTGTCCGGAAGCTAGAAAAAACAATGTGGGTTTAACATAGCACAAGACGTTACATTACTCCCAACAATGCTTCCAGTGTTTTTCCGATGTTCATATATATTTATCTCTGGTAAATAATCAGTTATATAATTTTTGTCACTGTTTTAAGCATTGGTCGTATCACAGTCACTAAAACTAGACATTGCACACACAGAATTATCAGGTGTATTATCTGAGCCACTGACAGAACAATTGTTTGTATTCCGATAACAATCAACATACTTGAGTTCATTTTTAGCCAAGAAAATCTTTCCGTGATGAGTTTTACAGTAGTGCAGACCCCTGGATGAGATAATGAGTGGAGACAGTTAAAACCCATCTTTCTGTACACCAGTGGCATGAATGGTCTGTACAACCAAACAATTATTTCCGTTTTTACCATTAATACAAAGAAATAATAGATACTGAGTATCAATGTGGTTACATATGAAGTGTTACAAATAAAGAAAATGTGGTCTTTATTTTGCTGTTACAAAAATCATTGAATATACAGTCACTATACCTTCTAGTCCATCATCAAGGAAGCTAAACCCATATTTACCCAGTCCTTATAACTTTGTAAAGTTGTTGGCCACAGTATAACCTCAAAATGAAGAGGAAAGAGCAGTGCATCCTCAAACTCTCTGATAAGCGTAGAAAATTCAAGTGAAAAGTCATTTTGTTATTTGAGCACAAAGCAACCCTAGTTTATTCATATATTTTGATCTCTGACATATCTCTAAAGGAGATACATGTTAATCGATGAAATATTCTATCTTAAAAATATAAATTAACAGATCAGACCACTTTGAGCTATCGAAAATATATACACTCCGGTAAACATTCTTTTTTCGTCAAAAGCTGTGGGTTTAAGTTTTATAGAACTTTTGGTTAAATTCGACAAATATTAAGATTAATATGACTGTAAAAGGTATATATACGTAAGGAAGCTCGTTAAGCAAATGATAAATTGACCAAACTCAATGGGATAGTGATTTAATTTCATCGGGAATTAATTACCATATCAGTAAACAATTGGGTGCTCATTAGTGAATAGCCTCGAGATCACTAAATCAAAATTATTGCTAGGATCTCCAACATGCGAAATCAATGTTCTATGTAATTACTCAGTAATGATATTTGATGACGATTACATTATACTGCAGACCGATTAAAGTTAGAAAATGTTGAATACTGGATTACGACCTAATGGTTGAATGATACCATATTTATTACCAAATTCCGGACTCTACAATACTAACGATTCTCACCAATGTGCGGTTTTAATTGGTTTTCAGTAGTTCCTCACATGATCTTAGATATATTTCTTAATGGTCTTTACAAATCAGCTCGGGTGACAGCGGTTACATAGTGAATAAAACTGATATATCGTAAACTTTCGACATTTTCCAAAGGGATCCGATCCTGTCTCCCATATATAGCAGTGACTATAGGGATCAGAACACATAACCCTAGTCTACGTATTCAGGAGAAATTTGTGAGACCCCTGTACCTTCCTCGGCTGTTTATGACTTAATAAACGATTTTACTAATTTTTCACATCACCTATCTGTGTCGTTTTTTACCTCTTTTCGTATACATTCTTCACTATCTAGTTATTTACACACTTCCTATTACGTGATTTCAACGATGTTTCGTGATTGTTTGTTTATACAGGTTTGACCTACTTTATATGCTGAACTACTGACTAGGGTCTTTATTTTATCATTCTTATCACAACTAGTACTGTGGCTCACCATTCTAGTGGTTCGAGATTTGATTCCGATCCGGATGAGCGTATTACTAAGCCATGAATATAAATCTTTCATTCAACCCTTTATATTACGTTTAGGCTAACCCTGCTTGAGCGACGGAGGTAACAAAGAGCCAAATATGGATTAAGTGGGATGAATTTATTTCAGGCACTCGTTTACTCAGACAGACATTAAGAATGAGAAACAGGGAAACGAAGTGTAGATGAGAACGCAAACGTATCAACTCCATTTGGTAAAACGTGATTCACTATTTATAGCAATAAAATAGGACGAAAACATGTGATGAATGGGGTAAGCGATACACAAACATGCTAATGTAAAAGCAGCTAAGGTTATAGGCGTATAACTGACAAGGTCAAAGCGTGACTTAAGAAGAATAAATTAATTGATCTGTCCGAAAGCTAGAATAACTAATGTGGGTGTGACAGTACTAGACACCACACTAGTACACTTGCCTTCTTCCTATCAATTCATACATTTTACCCATTGTGTAGTTATGTGATCGATTTATTTGCGGTCATTAATTCATAAATTGCCTTTATTGACCTCATATTTTCCTATAAATGTTCATTTATATTAGAGTGGAGCCTAATGACGACGTGATTGAAAACAGTATGTTCGCTTATATGTTGTTCTATCACAGGTTTTTCAACTGATTGACAATATTTAAACAACCATCAATTATTACACATTGATACCCACACTACAACTTAATGTTGCCCACTTACATTGAGATGGAAATGGTTATTTTGACTAATTACAACGGTTATATTTATGTCAGTATCGTTATAAACCACTCGTCTAGTACAATAAGAAGATAGTATTTACCATCTCAACCACTTAATATTATGGAAGAACAGTGTTCTTTGAGAACATTGTCGTTCTAGACAATATCTTTAGTGCCAAATTGGAGTCAACTGTGATTTTCCAATATCACTGCTAACTTTGTCAATATAAATCGAATCCTAATACACTTTGATTACAAAATTAAAGTCTCGTTACCCCAGCCTAAGGCAAAGCCACACGAGTAATTTGAGTCACCGACTAATTCTAATCTCAGATTACAAAATTCATCTTTGGAAATGCCGCATCAGATGAAAACATATACATCTCAATTTAGAAATAAAAGTCTGTCTATCAAGTACCTTTCTATTCAGTAGAGAGAACAATGAGTTATTGCACAATAGTTGAAGAATGTCTCTTGTAGAAATGAAGTATCCTGATTTAGGAAATATTAAATCCATAAAATAATATAAACAGATCAATTACAAAGTTACTGTATCATGTTGGGAAAGTGTTCATACACCAACCTAAAACCAGAAGACAGAATATTTACTTGACGGCTTCACGGTGTTGAGGTATACTACTGTGATATAGCAGATCTTCGCCAGAAACACACAATCGGTCTAAATCTATCACAGATCTGAAACAAATTGATTGTCATTTAGACATTTATACCCAAAGTCAAGTTTAATAGTATGCAACATAATTAAATAAAACTTAAACCAGTTAAAAAAGCGTACTTTGCAGGTTTATATAATACATGATACAAATCTATCAGTGCTAATCTGCCTATTACTTTGGTTATGACCGACCAACAAATACGATACGGTAACTAAGCTAGACGACGTGACTTTCGTAACCAGTAGTTGGAAACTCTGGGTGACATGGCTCAGAATCGATCACAATTGTGTAAGTGTATACACTCTCTGTCTTCCTTTAAACTAAGAGGATATAATCGCTTCACATCTTCCTTTCTATGTACTAAATCTTTCTTCCTGTACTATGTTCTTATATGCAATCTTTCTTTTATATCTTACCACCACTGAATTAACCACTATGAATTCGGTGTTCAGCTTGTTGTGCTAATGAAGTATGACAACTTGAACCGATGTACATATGTGCCTGGTCCTACGTTGTAGCTGACTGACTGACTGAACACCAAGAAAACTTCGTTGGTTAATTCTGCCTGACCGTCCTCCACTTTTAGGAACTGTCGGAGTTATACATAAGATATTTTAAAATATACTTAAACATTTTAACCAACAAACCACTGATAACGACAAAAAGTGACTAGGTTCTGTTTTAGTTTGATAATTAGATTTCAATAAAACTGTCTATTTACCGATGACACTTTCCATCAAAGCGAATCGTTCAGAGTAACATACCTAACAAATTTAAAACTTGTGCTGGACCAATAAAAACACTATTCTATACACCATATGAAATAACTCCGTTGTTAGGAAAACTGAAAGCAACTTTAAGTAGACTGATGAAAAACTTGTTTCTGACAATGTCTGTTAGAGTACCTAAAACAAGAAGTGGACCCAATCCGTTTACCCTGTATCAAACTAAATAGTAATACGGTTGCGTACGATAACTCTGTATTTTATCAAGAATAAACATCATAAGATGTTCAGTTAAATCGCTTAAAGCTGTGAATTTTTCGGTATACTCGTCTAACGAAACTACGTCACACATACCGAATAAGTAGGTCCACAAATCTCGAACATTAACGACCACTAATTGACACAAGTAATAAAAAATATTTATAATTGAACTTTATAGGGAGTAAGTATTGAAAGTTATGCTTACTCAGCCTCGAAATATTTCGACATACATAACCTGCGTAGACCACCAACACCCTTCGATGAAAGCGAGGTGACTGTTTTCATAATGATCACATCGGTTGGTTCATCAACAGAGAGATAATTTTCATCTGTATTGTCGACATTCACAAACTGGATTTGTCTAAAAATGTACAAAATTAACATGGCCATACATAAAAACATATAAAGTCTACCTGTCAAGCTTTTCTTCCCAAGATAATAGTTTCAATTTCCTCTTTTTATATTTCATCTCAGATCCAGCGTCAAATACTGTCTGTAGTCTAATCGGATAGAAATTTTTTCAATTTATACAGAGTTTACGACATGAATCGAAGAAAAAAGACAACAGACAGGGAAAATTAGACACTTGACTAGCCTCGTGAGATTAGTTGTTTGCTTGTTAGAGTAGCATTGAAAACAAGTTATTTTTTACCACCAAACAATAGCTCCAAACCACTCAGGTTTAATAACTGGCATCTGATTGAGTATGTAACTCATTATACCCCCAATAACCGAAATATCTATACGTTTTCTTACATATGCAAAAATAGACAACAGGAATGATACCTATGTCGTTTAACACTGTTTCTTATTAATTCTTCTACTAATCGTTTTAAATTATCCCCATATACCTGTTATAACCAGTAAAATATAAATGACAGCAGTCTGAACTATATGAGACCACAATGTGTTTGTAATACAGAGAAACTTTTTTTCTTTTGTAGAACACTGTGAATGTATGTAATACACTCACATTTATCATGTAAAACAATGGACAACAATCAGCAGTAACACAAGCCTCAACAGCTATAGCACGTACTATTAGCGTTTACTTGCAAGCAGGAGCGATGTGAAACACAACACAACAGTCAGGACCGGCAGATATCACCCAAGTAAGAACACGGCGTACGGACACAACAAAGATATATTTAAAAACTGAATTACGCGGTTTAAGTACAAGGAGCGAAGTCTATTACAAAACGGTTTTACTCATTATCCTGTAGGTTTAGCATGCGCAAAGCTTCTTCTTCTAGTACGTTCACTTCCTGTTGCTCTGCAATAAGGAAAACAAACTCGCATTAGTAAAGTCATATGTAATGATTTTTGATACCGTTACACTACCCCCTCTCTCCATGATGCACTGTCCTCAGTGCCCGGTGCTGGGCAAACATGTTTAACATAGCAAGAAGATGTATGATAACGAGGCGAGACTCTAATTTAGCGACGACCTTTGAACGAATCCTAAATGACCTTGACAATTATTAGCCAATCAGAAGACAGTTTGTATAAAGTGAGAATATATTGTAAGTAATGAATTACAGTGGATATTCTTCTATTACATGATTTAAAAACTTGTTAAGGTTTGATAAAGGTTCAGAGGCTCTGAATTCATAATGCATATTGTATAGAAACCCGTCCATACGGTTAGTGCTTAGGGTTGTAGCCTGTCAGTAGACACCTCTTCTCTAAAATCCGATGTAAAGACCGATCGCATGTTAGCACCATAACCCTAACCTAACCTTAACCTAAACCCTAATCTAACCCTAAATCCTAACCTTAAACATAATCTAACCCTAACCTTAACCTACCATTAATCTAACCCAAAACCCTAACCTTAGCCCTTAGATTAGGCGATAAATCGTTAATTCGTCGAGAAGAGGAAAATCCGCATTATATCCCCCGGACAGGCGACATTCTGGCGCGTTTTCCCCTTTCTTCGCCTTTATTTCCCCTTTTTGAGTTGTCTGGGTAAACTCTAACCTTAACCCAACCCTTACCACTAATTTTAACCCCAAACCCTAACCCTATGGACGGGTTTCTATACAATATGCATTATGAATTCAGAGCCTCTAAACCTTTATCAAACCTTAACAAGTTTTTAAATCATGTAAAAGAAGAATATCCACTGTAATTCATCACTTTCTTGTAATATATTTTTACTTTATACTGTTTTCTGATTGGCTAATAATTGAAATCGCTCAAACGCTTCTCATTGGCTCGTCCTTAAATTAGAGTTTCGCCGTCCCATCTGTTTTAACCTCTCATGAATCACCTCCTCTCTAAAATCCGCTGTGAACCGACCGTATGTTAGCATCGCGTGTTGAACTTGGCTCCGTGACCTTGAAATTGCTCAAACGCTTCTGATTGGCTCGTCGCTAAATTAGAGTCTCGCCGAAAGTGTTTTTGCAGGATCAAACTGGAGCGCGACCCCCGATTCTTGGGTGGTCATCGCCGTCGAATAGATTGAAGTTGTGGTGCTCGGTGGCTCTTTTCGCCATTTCATCATATAAATACGACAAGAGCCACAGCTAACTGTTTTGCTGTATCCACGCGATTTTCGAACGGGAAGTTTAGTCCTAACGTGATTTGCATATATCAAACTTTTGCTGTGTTCTTACGCAACAAAAGTACCATTTCAGTTCTAAAAAATCTATCCTGAGCTATACGTTCGGTAGATTACTTTTTTTTAGTTTCACTATATTTAATAGTTACCTGTGGTTTTGCCTCAGCTTACTATTCGGTTTTTTTTGTTTTTCACGTATAGACTAGTTTCAGTTTATATCACTCGTTTTGTCCGTTTTTGTCCGTTTTCAGTGTGCATTTTAGTGTTTTTTTTAAAAAGGTCTTAAGCTTTTGCCAGCATCTATAACATAGTTTGCTTCAACACCGTCATGAAAAACTCATGCAAACGTCCGGGATGCCGTTTTGCTGTCACAACTGGCATGCAGTGTGACAACTGCAAAGGTTGGTTTCACGAAGCATGCACAAATCTGACAGCAACTGCTTACAACAAACTCAGCAAGTCAGACCAAAAGTGGGTATGTGTCACGTGCAACACGGACGCAGTAGTCTTGCTGAGTAACATCATTGTCCTACTGACAGGTCTTCGAAACAAGCTGTCAGTTAACTTGGAACACGACAGTAAAAAAACCGATATACAAACAAGAGCGCGCAACGGACTCAAAAATAGGGATGTCGATAGGTATGTCATCGATGGAGCATCCATCAACACTAACGACGACGTGTCGAGGCTCAGTACCATCATTACGTCGACGGTACTAGACTCCCTAGGCAAACTCGGGTCTCCCAGCTCAGGGTCGCTGAACACAACAGTGGTTCCCAAAAACCCTGCAGGCGATTCGACCCACGTTAAGAGAGCCCAAAAGAACCAGGCATCACCGCCTAAGCCGAGCAACCCAAGTGTTGCTGCACGGAAAATAACTGGTGATTTAGTCGCACAGTCTACCCCCAAGACTGTTCGTCCGGTCAATAAAGAGCCCAAGATTCATAAACGCACACTGACCTCCAAAAAACAAGTTATTAAACCTGTACCCATCGTGAAACCTGGTAAATTAACAACAGTTCGTGACGATTCTCTCATTATCATGAACCTCGTCGACAATCCTGACCTTCCTCTCAGTCTGCAGGATAAAAACGACAGGATGCTGTGGGGTGAATTGAACAAAAAGCTCGAACTTCCTAGAATAGAGCCTTTGACGGTCACCCGGCTCACTCGAGGAAAGGATTCTAAGCATCTAAATCACCCGAGGCTTCTCCGAGTAACACTTAAGAATGCTACCGACGTAGAGGACGTCTTGCTAGCAAGTCACTTACTGAAATCAGATGGTAACGTAAGAATATTGCCCGACATACCGTACTCTGAGCGCAATATCATACGAAACGTCCCTAAAGAATCTCGCGAGAAGTTCTTCCGCGGAAGAAACATAATTGTCCAAGGTATACCGGAAAATGCAGACCCTACTCAATCAAATTCTGACATCAGGGAATGGAAATTCATCAAACAGTCCTTGAGGCTCAAACACATACTGACTCAGCATGTGACGAGACTAGCCAAGAAAGACGGTGATCTTAGACCCCGTCTAATGAAGATAACCTTCCCATCTTCCCACATGGCGGCTGCAGTTCTGGAAGCATTTCGTGCTAATAGACGTCGATTGCCACCTGGAATCCACATGCACCCGGATAGGCCATACGAAGTCAGGACCAAGAACAAAGGCAAGCTGGAGCTGACCATTCCACTTGTGGACTGTCTAAACGATAAAAAAAACGTGTAAAGGACAGGGCCTACCACCTCGGCAAACCTCATATAGGTGGGCTACCTGTCCATTCACATAAGGTTCATACAGAAAAACAGGACGAAGCTCATGCGTTCCAAATTGAAAGCATAAACTGCTTATATACGAACGCCGCGAGTTTACCAAATAAACTGCATGAACTACGTGAACTTAGCAACGCTAGCAAGGCCCATCTGATAGGAATATCTGAAACCTGGATATCTTCTCAGTTCTCGGATCAAGAGTTAGCATTACCTGGGATGACTTTGTTCCGCAACGACAGAAAAATAGGAATTGGGGGCGGAGTAGCCATATACATAAGCTCTTGCTTGGAGGTGCACCAGGTTCACAACCTCGAGTTTAACAATCTTGAGGAATCCATATGGTGCTCTGTAAGGTTGTCTAGTACTTCCAGGTGTCTAGTCGGAGTCATTTACAGGAAGCCAACTGCCGACACCGAGTACGATAGTCGTATGCTGGAAGGACTATCCCGCTCTATCCGTCTCGGTTTCACACACATCCTGATTCTAGGGGACTTTAATCTCCCTAGAGTCAACTTCGCGGAACACACGTACACTGGAGGCGACAACTCAACTGAAGCTCGGTTCTTCAACCTCATCGATAACTTGGGCTTATATGAAAATGTGAGGTCGGCAACTCGTTGGAGAAACAGTCAGACACCATCGCGCTTAGACTGTGTATTCACTAACGAAGAATTCCTAGTCGACAACCTCTCAATCCTGGCTCCTCTGGGAAAAAGCGATCATGCCGTCATAGCCTTCAGTTTTGTCATCAAAACTAAGCTAAGGTATCCCAACAATAATTTGCGATGGAATTTTAAACGGCTGAATGTGCGAGCTCTACATGACCATCTACAACAGGTGGCTTGGGATGTTCACCCTCAAATCGATGTGGATGGTCATTGGGACTTCTTGCTGCACACGCTCTTACGTGCTACAGACCATTCAGTTCCTCAAACGGTTCCCAAAAGCTTCAAGCCACCTACAGTAATCAAGAACCGTACCCTTCGCCTCCTAAGCCGCAAACGGCACTGTTGGGCGGAATACAAACGAACTAATAACGATGGAGCGTATAGGCAATACAAACATATCAGGAACACATGCACGAAGGCTATAAGAGAAGACAGGCTTCAGTACCAAACAAAGCTTATGGACAAATTCGCCTCTAACCCTGGAAGCCTATTCCGTTATGCAGCCTCACTTCGTCAAGCCAAAACAGGAGTTTCTCAACTGCTAGGTCTTAACGGCCCGACCAACAACGATGGCGACGCCGCTAACCTTCTGGTGGCCCATTACTCTCAAACATTTCAACCGGCTGACATCAACTTTATTGACGACAGTTTCATCTCCAACTCCACAGGACTTTCTGAAGTGGACCTAAGCGCTGACTTGGTGTTCCGGAAACTGCAGCACTTAAGACTTGACACTTCTCCTGGCCCGGATATGGTTCATCCTGCCATACTGAGGGAGGCAGCCTCAATCCTGGCAACGCCGCTTAGCGTGATGTTTTCACACTCGCTTAGCCGAGGCAAACTACCGGAAAATTGGAAGTTGGCTCACATCACACCAATTTTCAAAGGTGGTCGACGCAATGAACCTTCAAGTTACCGGCCGGTAGCTCTTCTGTCGTTACCTTCAAAACTCATGGAGTCCCTGATATGCGACGGTTTAAATGACTACCTACTGTCCTTAAATTTCTTCTCACCCCAACAGCATGGTTTCAGGAAGGGTTACTCTTGTATAACCAACCTGCTGACTGCGGTGGACAGATGGACAAGCATCCTCGATCGCAAGGGAAAGGTTGATGTCATTTACCTTGATTTCTCAAAAGCTTTTGATAAGGTTAACCACTTGTGTCTTATCAACAAGCTCAAACGACTAGGTATCAAACCACCTCTAATCGACTGGCTTACTTCATACCTAAAAAATCGACACTTTAAGGTTAGGGTTAATTTCACTTTATCTCAAGCTATGGAATGTCCTAGTGGGGTCCCCCAGGGCTCAGTACTAGGGCCTCTTCTCTTCTTGATCTACATAAATGATCTTCCTCAACAGGTAACGTCAGACTTATTACTTTTTGCCGACGACGTGAAACTTTGGAGAGAGATACGCAACCAAGACGATATACAGGCACTTCAAGAGGATCTGACTCGACTTCATAGTTGGGCAGACGATAACGGACTTACCTTTAACACTTCTAAGTGTAAAGTAGTCCATCTGCGACATGTCGCAAACTACAGTTACAACTTAGGAAACTCCTCTCTAGTAGTATCCCAAGTCGAAAAAGATTTAGGAGTCCTGGTGCCCCACGACTTAAAGTCTTACGCTAACTGTGACAAAAATGCCTTCCGAGCAAACCTTGCACTGGTAACGTTGAGGCGCATTTTTGGTCAGTTTGACGGAAGAACTTTCCATACAATCTTCAATAGTTTCATCCGTCCCCATTTAGAGTACGGAAACATAGTACTCCCCCCTCACTCCAAAAGGACAAGGTCACTTTGGAGCGTATCCAAAGGCGAGCCACGAAATCAGTTCGAGGACTCAAATCTAAGCCTTACGAAGAACGCCTCCGTTCACTAGACCTTTACCCACTAGAATATAGGCGTCTTAGAGGTGATTTACTAATGGCCTATAGTATTCTTAACACTTCTGGACATCCTCTTAAACACCTACTTAAGCTTAGTTCGAACAATAACCTAAGGGGTAACACCCAGAAACTGGAAACACAACATAGCAAGACGGAATGTAGACACAACTTCTACTCCTTAAGAGTTGTCAAAAGCTGGAACTCGCTGCCGGCCGAGCTAGTCCAAGCGACTTCTCAGGAGTCCTTCAAGAGGCAACTTGACCTATTCTTAAGGACCAAGGACAGCATCGCACTATGATTTACCAATTTCTTTTCCTCTTTTATTGTTAACATACCTAGGTTCCTGCCTGGAGGATTTGGTGATCCCCTGCTACTAGACACGGAAGCCTGTTAAGCGAAAGCTTCTTCTATTCCGTCCACAACCATTTGAACCAT